CTGATGAATTATCTGCTTATGTGCTTTATCTAGTTTTCTTTACTTTTTTGAGATGGAGTTTTGCTCTTTTTGCCCAGGCTGGAGTGCAATGGCATGATCTCAGCTCACCGCAATCTCCGCCTCCCAGGTTCAAGCAATTCTCCTTCCTCAGCCTCCGGAGTAGCTGGGATTACAGGCACTACCACACCAGCTAATTTTGTATTTTTAGTAGAGATAGGGTTTTTTCATGTTGGTCAGGCTGGTCTTGAACTCCCAACCTCAGGTGATTTGCCTGCTTTGGCTTCCCAAAGTGCTGGGATTACAAGCATGAGCCACTGCATCTGGACACACACATATTTTTTTTTGAGACAGATTTTTGCTCTTGTTGCCCAGGGTGGAGTGCAATGTTGGGATCTCAGCTCACTGCAACCTCTGCCTCCTGAGTTCAAGTAATTCTCCTGCCTCAGCCTCCCGAGTAGCTGGGATTACAGGCATGCGCCATGCACCCAGCTAATTTTGCAGTTTTAGTAGAGACAGGGTTTCTCCATGTTGGTCAGGCTGGTCTTGAACTCCCGACCTCAGGTGATTCACCCACCTCAGTCTCCCAAAGTGCTGGGATTATAGGCATGAGCCACCATGTCCAGCCTTAGTTTTGTTTTGTTTCTTTTCTTTTCTTTTTTCTTTTTTGAGGCAGGGTCTTCCTCTGTTGGCCAGGCTAGAGTGCAGTGGTGGTGTGATCACAGCTCACTGCAGCCTTAACCTTCTGGGCTCAGGTGATCCCCCACCTTAGCCTCCCGAATAACTGGGACTATAGGTGCATGCCACCACACCCAGCTAGTTTTTGTATTTTACGTAGAGACAGGGTTTCACCATGTTGCCCAGGCTGGTCTCAAGTTCCTGAGCCCAAGAAATCCACCCACCTCAGCCCCCCAAGGTGCGGGGATTATAGGCATGAGCTACTGTACCCAGTCAGTTTTCTCTTTTTTATTGATATATTTCTCCATTTATACCACTTCATTTGTGTAGTTTATTATTATTATTTAGTGAGGTATATATTTGTTTCTTATAGATGTGTTCAGGCTACTAACTACTTTTCTGTCATCTATTACATATGTGTGTATGTGTGGCTTTTTATTTTTCTTTTTGGTGATGAAGGTTTTGCTATGTTGCGGAGGCTGATCTTAAACATCTGGCCTCAAGTTATGCTCCTGCCTTAGCCTCCCCAGCTGCTGGGATTACAGGTGTGAGCCGCCTTGCCCAGTTCTCATATATTACAAATACTTTATCTTAGATTGTCATTTGCATTTAGTCTTGTTCATTTTTAAAGCATTCATTAATCTAAAATGTCCATGTAATCAAGGTAGCCTATATAGACTTTCCAAACCACAGGGCCGGAGGTGGCCATGACTGCAAGCAGGGAGGCCAGCAGAGAGGTGGTCCCCGCCAGAGTGCAGGTGTGGCAGGATGAGGCTGAAGGTGGGGCAGGGCTAGAGAGGAGGTGAGACCAACTGGAGGCAGACGAGAGGTGACCAAGATGTGGTGACCTTGGGTACGGAAAGGAGGAAGGAGGAGGAACCCCAGGTGACTCACAGGTGCTGACCTGGAGGAGGACAGGGTGTGAGCAGGTGGAGGAAGAGCCAGGATTGGGAGTACAGGCAGGGGTGTGGTGGGGGTAGGGTGCCGAGATCTTGACAATTCCCTTTGGGATTGTTGCGTGGAGGCTTCCAGCCGTATAAGTTACCGGCATTTGGATCACTAGGACTGGGCTGGTTTCTTGTTTATTTTTATTTTTTTGAGATGGAATCTTGCTCTGCTACCCACGCTGGAGTGCAATGGTGCAATTTCAGCTTACTGAAACCTCTGCCTCATGAGTTCAAGGGATTCTCGTGCCTTAGCCTCCCAAATAGCTGAGATTATAGGTTATAGGCATGCACCACCACACTGGCTCATTTTTGTATTTTTTAGTAGAGACGGCGTTTCATCATGTTGGCCAGGCTTGTCTCAAACTCCTGACCTCAAGTGATCCGCTCTCCTCGGCCTCCCAAAGTGCTGGGATTATAGGCGTGGTTTCTGTCTTTTTGTCAGTTTCAGAAAGACTTTTGCTGCTACAGAATTTATATTAATATAGTCATACAAACTATCTCAAGTGTTTTTTTTTAATTTATATCTTAATCTAGCTGGGCACAGTGGTGTGCACCTGGAGTCCCAGCTACCTGGGAGGTTGAGGCAGGAGGAACGCTTGAGCCTAGGAGCTGAAGGCTGTAACGCACAGTGATTGCAACTCTGACTAGCCACTGCACTCCAGCCTGAGCTACATAGTGAAACCCTGTTTCCAAAAAATAAAATAGAATAAAATAAATCTTAATCTAGATGGAATCTGTAGTATTTTTGTGAATTGTGAAAGTTAAGGAGTTAACTCACTGTCATTGACATCCACCTGGGGCAGCCCCCAGCCCCGTGCCCAAAGACAGTCCTGTGGGCCCTCAGAGCCCCTGTGTCACTGCTGCTGTTGCTGCTACAGCTCTGGGCCTGTGCGACTGACAGGAAGCCCACTGTGTTGGGGTTTCCTGTCAGTCGTGCCTGGGGCCCTGCCTCCAGCCATGCCCTCTTTCAAGCATTTCCTGTGGGTTAGCTCTGGGGGTCTTTTCCTAGCCTGTTCTTACCTGTGTCGCTGCCAGAAAGAATTCTTCATAGTTTTTGGCCTTTCCTCTTTCCCCAGTTTTTTTTTTTTTTGAAACAGAGTTTTATTCTTGTTGCTCAGACTGGAGAGCAATGGTAGATCTTGGCTCATCGCAACCTCCGCCCCCCAGGTTCAAGCAATTTTCCTGCCTCAGCCTCCCTCCTGAGTAGCTGGGATTACAGGTGCCTGCCACCACACCTGGCTAATTTCGTATTTTTAATAGAGACAAAGTTTCTTCATGTTGGTCAGGCTGATCTTGAATTCCCAACTTCATATGATCCATCTGCCTCAGCCTCCCAAAGTGCTGGGATTACAGTGTGAGCCACTGTGCCTGGCCACCTTTCCCCAGTTTCTTTAGTGGTTGTATATTTTTCCCTGTTTCAGATTTGCTAGGTTCTTTTTTTTTTAAGTGACTTTTTAAAGGTTCTTTTCTTATTGGGCAATAACAAACATAAAGTCACAATTCCTAAGCATACATCTCAGTGAATTTTTATGTAGGTATTTATTATGTCCTCATTACCCTGATAAGAGACTTCTTTTAGCGTTAAGAAGCTGTTGGTGGGAGGGTGGGTGGAGAGGGAAATCATGGTCCTCACACTGCTATTTTTTTTTCTAGAACTATCAGGAGATGGTGAGAGACGGGGGGGCCACATGTGACATTCAACTTTATAAAGGGGTATGGAGTGCACAATGGTTAGTAGTCATGTGGGTCACGAGCTGGTTCTGCCCCTCACTAGCCATGGGACTTTCTATGCCTCAGTTTCAACAACTGTAAAATGGGTGTAGAAAACAGCTCCTGCCTCATAGGGTTGTCATGAACATTACATGAGGCAGTGCACGTAAGCGCACAAAAAAATGTCAATTGTTGTTTCTGTTGTTATTAATAATGATGAGCTTAGCTAGGAGTATGTGTCAGAATCACCTGGGGCACTTTTGCAAAATATGCATGCCTGACCTGGCCAGATCAACTGAGTCAGCATCTGGATTTTAAACGCCTCTCCAGATTATTCTGTTGCTCATCTGTGGTTCAGTTCACCGGGCTGGAGGTAGCCATGACTGGAAGCACAGAAGTCAGCAGGTGGCCTCTGCAAGAGAGCAGGTATGGCAGGAGGACGCTGCAGGTGGGGCAGGACTGGTGAGGAGGCAAGTGGGGCCAACTTGAGGCAGACAGGAGAGGTGGTCAAGACATGGTGACTTTGCACAGGGGTGGGAGGAAGGAGGAGGAGTCCAGCCAGGGTGACTCATAGGTGCTGACTTGGACAAGGGTGGTGGAGGATGAACCAGGGTAGGGACTACAGGAAGAGGAGTGGTGGGGGAAGGGCACAGGGATTGTGACAATTCCCTTTGGGCTCCTGGTGAGGATAAGTTAGTACTTAGATCTCTAGGCCTAGGTCAGTACTATGGTTTTGGGAGGTGTTGGCCTGGAGGAAATGGATAAAGCCTGGTCATTGAGTAATGTAGAGGTCAAAGGAGGGCCAAGTTCACAAGCATCCTCCTCTGCAAAGGCCTGCGCCCACTTTTTTTTTTTTTTGAGACTGGGTCTTGCTCTGTCACCCAGGCTAGAGTGCTGTGGTGCGATCATAGTTCACGTAGTTTCCAACTTCTGGGCTTAAGCGATCCTCGTGCCTTAACTTCCCAAAGTGTTGGAACTACAGGTGTGAGCCCCACTCCCAGCCTCTTTGTGTGTCCACTTCTTATTCTGCTTTCCCTAGAAATACAGAAGAGCTTGTTTCTTATGTAATAACTCCCTGCTGAGGACTGTTGGACAATAAACTGTCCCCTCCTCTGAAGATGAAGAATAACTTTGGGTCATTTTCTTTCCTCACAGGTCACAAAGTTTTCCATACTTCTTGATGGAGGTGCTTAAACCTTATCCATCAGCATTCTCAGACAGCACCTCTGCTTAGGGACAGCATCTGACCATTAGACATCCCTGCACCGCCCCCCCCAAACCATGCTGTCACATAGACTCAGCCTCAGGTGGATGGTTTCCTTAGATGCTGGCTTTCTTTGGACCCTTGATATCAACCAGTTACTCTTTGATAAGAACTTAAGTCATTCCAGTGCCTCTCTCAGAGGCATTTGCATTTACAATTTCAGATGTCATAGAAATAATGAACGACATTGCATTCCTGAGGGAATGAATGAATTTTTCACTTCCTTGTTCTAGAACATCTCTGTCCACTAGAATTTTCCGTGATGTCAGTAAATGTTCTCAGTGCTGTTCTATGCAGTAGCTGCTGGCCACATGTGGCTGTTGAACATTTGAGATGTGGCCAGTGTGACTGAGGAACCGGATTTTTTCATTATAATGAATTAAAATAGAAAATTGTTTTTCCAGACAAGGTCTTATTCTGTCATCATGCTGGAGTGCAGTAGTGTGATCATGGCTCACTGTGGCTTTGACCTCCTGGGCTCACGTAATCCTCTCACCTCAGCCTCCTGAGTAGCTGGGACCACAGGTATGTGCCACCACACGGGCTAATTTTTTTTTTTTTTTTTTTGAGAGATGGGGGTCTCCGTATATTGCCCAGGCTGGTCTCAAACTCCTGGGCTCAAGCGATCCTCCCTTGGTGTCCCAAAGTACTGAGATTACAGGGGTGAACCTCCATACCCCGCCTTAAATTGTAATTTAAACTGAAAAAAGAAAAGCAGGCACTATGAAGTTGTATCCTCTGGGTTGGTGAGAGCTAGGGACATTAGGCCTGGCACTCCACCTGACTGCTCCACTACCAATTGCTCCCCAAAGGGATTTGGTAAAACGGAGGAGGAGGCCTTGGCTCTTAACTAGGATGGTTCCACACCATCTGGGAAAGCAACCATCAAGTAGAAGATTACTTGGCTGTTTCCATGTTGAAACCAAATGGGCTTTCTTTCTCTCTCTCCACCCTGGCCTCAGCCCACATTCTGCCTGCATGAGAAGGCAGTGTCCAGCACTGCCCCTCCCAGGCCTCTCCAGGCTTCCTTTTTCCCACTCTTCCCATCCTGGGAGCATTGCCCCTGCCCTCCCTTCTGCCCTGCATCCCTCTCCCTGCTCCTGCCACAGCAAGCCCCACCTCCTCCAATAAGACTTCCCAGACTCCTCTGTCCGTTTCAGGTGAGGCTAGTTTTAGGGCCCTGAACTAAAACTTATTAGGGCCAAATTCCATTTGGCTTCCCAGCTGGGGGTGAGGTGGCAGGGATGGGTCTCAGAAAGATCAGCTGCAGGACAGGTGTGTGTGCGACCACTGTATTTCCGACTTCTCTCACCACCACTCATGGTGAGAAAGGTATTTCCTGCCCCAACCAGGACACACTTCAATGTATGGATACATAACACTGAAGCAAAAGTTCTGTCAAAATAATATGAACTCTGACTACATGTGATGCACTTGGATATTTTCTGTACTGTTCTGTTTATTTTTTAAAGAGAAAGGCTGGTTGTGACCCACTAAATTGATTTCACAACCCAGTAGTGGGTCACGACCCACTGGGTGAGCAGCACAGAGTGAGATCCTGGCTGCATCTTGGCCCAGCTGTGACAGCCAGCCCTGCCCAACTTGGAACAGCCCCAAACACAGCCCAGGCTGCCTGACATCGCACCGCCCACATGCTGCACCCTGGATTCCTTGAAGAACTCCCACATGATGGGCTTATCCAGGTTGTCCCCCTGGGGAGCTCTGCTCTTTCCACTGACTATCACTGCTCCATTGGTCATGCCGTAAAATGGCCACGGCCACAGATGCTGTCTCAGGAGATTGAAGTCTAGAGAACACACTAGACACACCTAAGAGAAGGATGCCAGGTCAGGGTCAGGACACAGGCTGCACATCTCACCCCTCTTGATCTCATCCCTCTTAATGAGACCTCTCAGGTCTAGGGGTCTCACCAGCTCTGCTCACCTGGCAGGGCCACACATAACAAATAGAAGCCACGCAAACCCTGGAGCTCCTGATGACAGAAACATCTTGCCAGTGAGAGGACCACAAGAAATAGATTCAAGGAGCATTCCACGTGCAAGTGAGTCTTGGCCCCATCTGCCTTTGGATTTTGGCTATGAACTGGAAGGTACTGGAAGCAGGACTCTTATAAATAGCTAAATCAAAATCCCCGCATTTGAACCAAGTGCTTTATTTCTCTGTGGACCTCAAGCTCTGCTGACATCTGTGGAGCACCCTGTCCTAACAGGAGCGACTGTCTGATTTCCCAACACTGCAAAGGGAAAGAAATAGCCTGGAAGGGTGGCTGGCGGAAGGTGGTTTTTAGAGAGAGACTTGCAGATAACAGGAAAGTGAAGGCTATAAGGAAGGCTGTAATTAAACAGCACATGGAAACACAGTCACATTATTTTCCCATTCCATGGGATAATGATGACCACCTCAGTGGAAAAAGGAGAGATTTTAAGGCATTAGGGACTATGGGCCACCTTTTAGCAAGATTTCTCTTCAAAGTGGTTAAAACAGTGTTTTGGCAATTCAAGTTTCATTTTCAGACAAAGTAATTCATGGGAACCTCAGTGACTGTGGATGAATAAGATGCTGTTGAACGGCTCTGACTCGGGCCAGCCATGCTTCTCTAGGGACCTTGGAGACTGAGGCCACTGTGATCTCAGGTTCAGGGGGCAAGTCCTCTCCACACAGCCCTAGCTGGCCTCACAGCTGAACATGGCTCCCTTACTATTGGACTCCTTTGTTCACCCACGTGAGTTTGTGAATAAATCCTTTCCAGTTTGAAAGCTTGCTGACACTTTGAGACAGGTGTGGAGAGAGGACTCTGAGCTGAACACTCCCTGGGGACGGCAGGCCTGGTGAGATGGCCTAAATTGCCAGAAGATAGGGCACAGCAACTCAGATTTGGGCTAGGGGTGCAGTTTGGGGAGCCGTAGTGGGCGGGTAGGCAGGTGTGAGCTTGAGGACAAATTCTGCCCTCTTCACTGCATGGCCCGAGCCAGGGCAGCTCACTTGCTGAGGCAGGGCAGGCCTCTGTTTATTAGCTTGACTCCTCCCTGCTCCCTGGTCCCCAGATCTGCTTCTGTGAATCACCCTGGGTGGCTGCAGGGGTGCTTTAATCAGTGAGGGGATCTCAAAGAAAAGCCAGGTATTTCATAGACAAAGATGACTTATTCCTCACCATCTGAGAAAGCAAGGGTCTAGTAGAAGGCAGTGGGGCCTGGGGCTCTGTCATGTCACCAGGAGGTCTCTGTCTTGACAATTGCTTACTACATTATGCACGTGTGGTGCACTGCACATTCTGTTGTGGACATTTGCAAATGGAATTTACTTACAAAATGATGAAACCATTTCTCCCAAAGTGGGGAGGATAACTCGAAATCACAATAACAACCTAAAATAACAATATCAAGATTCTAGGAAAAGATTTTAGACAAGCCACTCTCTGACATGTCCCAAGGCCAGAATGGAGTGGGGCTTGATCGCAGTGATGGTCTCAACAAGCTGCCTAAAGAAATTCTTATTTCAGTGGGATTAGAATAATGTGAGGGGTAAAGGAACACCTGCCAGGCATAAGCATTCCACCTAGTGGAAATTAGAGTCTGCTGATGAAATCACAAATGATTTTAACAGGGAGGAAGGGGGTGGGCAGCACCCAAGGACAGACGAGTGTAGATTTTCAGTAAACCTGCTGGGTTTTCACACTGCCTAATGCCTTGGCTGTGATACACCACGAGTATGTCAGAATGCCCAGAGACACCAAAGTCTAGAATTAGCAGCTATTGTAAAGGAGTCCTGGTCAGCACCAAAGTTGTTTGTTTGCTTCCTTATTGGTCTGTTTGGAGCAAGAGGATGGACAAGGAAGCAACCCCCTCGGCTAGGGGAGGATGCAGAGTGGAATGAAAAAGTGCCCAATTCCCATTTTGTTTCCAACTCTACCTCCCTTGAGAATAGTCCTCAAACTGGAAGGAAAAAAAAAAAAGTGGAACAAAGATCATTGAGAGTAAAATGAAGCCCCCAACAATAGAGGAAATGTAAAATAGAGCTCCCTCAACTCCGTCCTAGAAAATAACCCACTTGTCACAATCCCCACAGGTGGTCACGTTCCCCACAGCTGGTCATCCAGGTTGGCCAGAGCCCCCAAAGCAGCGCTTCTGGGGAAAGATGGCCTGACCAGAGACAAATCCATTTATTAATAGTCCTAGATTTCAACACAGAGAAGAGAAACTGAAGCCTACCTTGTTCAGCAATGTATTTGGTTTTGTTGTTGCCGTGTTGTTGTTATTTTTGAAACAGAGTCTCACTCTGTCGCCAGGCTGGAGTACAGTGGCATGATCTCGACTTACTGCAACCTCCACCTCCTGGGTTCAAACAGTTCTCCTGCCTCAGCCTCCTGAGTAGCTGGGACTACAGGCTCACGCCACCACGCCCAGCTAATTTATGTATTTTTAGTAGAGACAGAGTTTCACCATTTCGGCCAGGATGGTCTTGATCTCTTGACCTCGTGATCCGACTGCCTTGGCCTCCCAAAGTGCTGGGGTTACAGATGTGAGCCACCGCGCCTGGCCTGTTTTTTAAATAAAGTACCTGAAAAGAGGATTCTCTGGGCTGCAGGTGACCCAGACCCTAAAGGGACAATAAATGACTTTGAGGTAAAAAAGTCATGACTCAAAATAGTCTTGTCAGGATAGAAAAAAGAAGACATTTTACAAGAGAAAATGTAACATTTTATATTTGGGTTTATTAAAATGATTCATTCAAATACATAGTGGAGGAGCCTGGGGACCCAAGGGGACTGGTTTCCTATGGGCTCCATGTGGACCAAGAGTGTGAGGTTTGGGAGAGCCCCCCACACATGGGAGGCAAGGACCTAGCACAGGGAGGGGCCACAGTCCTCCATTCCCACTCCTCAGGCCATGTGCCCTTGTGTAGGGTGCAGCTCCTGGATCCCAACCAAGTAGGAACCGCCCAGGCAGGTCACCAGCACAGAGGGGGCCTGACGGCAGAGCAGTGGTGATGAGACAGGGGCTGTCAGCCAAAGGAGAGGTGAATTTAGGTAGCTGAAGAGTCACCAAGGGTGAGAGTGGGACCATTCTTTACATCCAGCGGGCCACATTAGAGGAGGCTGGCTGGGGTCCTGTCAGATGGATACCAGTGTGGTGGGAAGTTCCCCGCCAATGGAGGGTCCGCACAGTCTCAGGACAGCCTCTCTGCCAGGGTACACTTCAGAATGGATCTTTGAGGCTTTGTAGGAAGGTGGCCTGAGGAATTCTAAAGTCTCTTCCCAAGATGTTGATGGTTGCCATAGATGAGGAGTCAGTAGGAGAGGAAGTGCCCTTTTCCAGGCAGGTGGGAGGAGTGGTTAAAAGGGAGGCCAGGTGCAGTGGTTCACACCTGTAATCTCTGCACTTTGGAAGGCCAAGGTAGGGAGATGGCTTGAGTCTAGGAGTTTGAGACCAGCCTGGGCAACATAGTAAGACCTCATCTTTACAAAACATGTTTTTAAAAAATTAGCCAAGTGTAGCAGGAGGCTCAGGTGGGAGGATCGAATGAGCCCTGGAGGTCAAGGCTTCAGTGAGCTGATCTCGCACCACTGCACTCCAGCCTGGGCCACAGAGTGAGACCTGTTTCTAAATAAATAAACAGGCCGGGTGTGGTGGCTCTACACTTTCAGAGGCTGAGGTGGGCGGGTCATTTGAGGTCAGGCATTTGAGACCCCCCTGGCCAACATGGTAAAACGCTGTCTCTAATAAAAATACGAAAATTAGCCAGGCTAATTTTTTTCTTTTTATTTTTTCTTCTATTTTATTTTTGAGACGGAGTTTCGCTCTTGTTACCCAGGCTGGAGTGCAATGGCATGATCTCGGCTCACTGCAACCTCCGCCTCCTGGGTTCAGGCAATTCTCCTGTCTCAGCCTCCCGAGTAGCTGGGATTACAGGCACGCGCCACCGTGCCCAGCTGATTTTTTGTATTTTTAGTAGAGACAGGGTTTCACCATGTTGACCAGGATGGTCTCGATCTCTTGACCTCGTGATCCACCCGCCTCGCCTCCCAAAACGCTGGGACTACAGGCGTGAGCCACCGTGCCCGGCCGCTAATTTATTAAATAAGGTGGCGGGGGGACTGTAATCCCGTCTACTCAAGAGGGTGAGGCATGAGAATCTCTGGAACCCTGGAGGCAGAGGTTGCAATGAGCAGAGATTGTGCCATTGCACTCCAGCCTGGACAATAGAGCAAGACTTCGTTTCAAAAAATAAAATAAAATAAAATAAAATAAAAATAAATAAACAAAAATAAAAAGGGCAAACCAAGGCACTGGGGTTCAAGCCCTGCCTCTGTCACTTTGTGTGACCTTTGGCAAGGTACTTAAGCTCGCTGTGCCTCAGTGCCTTCATTAAAAATGAGGATCATGGCAACTGGACACACCTGTGAGGATTTCCATGAGGGTTATCAGAGTTAAATGAAGGCTCTTAGCACTGCGGCCACACCCATGGCAAAGGCCACGTGCTGGATAGCTGCTGCAACAGTCATTGTCACCATCATCATCTTCACCGCTGATTCAACACGCAGTTACTGAACCTGTCTATGTGCCAGGGGAGTAGAGACCAGTAGGGTGGGTCCCCGCCTTCAAGAAGTCACAGCCCAGTTTAGAAGGCACAGGATTGTCACATGAAGAGATAGGTGAGGGGCAGAGCAGGGTGTGGTCACATCACCTGGGTGGGGCCCAGGAAGGCTCCTGGGGGAGGCGGGCCAGGGCTTCTGAAACCATGACGTGGCTCAGAAGCATTTCAGTGTCTTGTTTTCCCGTGCTCATCAGGCTGTTTATTCTGGGGGCGGCTGTGCATGCGGTGCCCCCTCCACGCCCCAAGTGAGCATCAGGACTGGCAGGGCTGGCTAGGCAGGTCCAAAGGCTCAGGGACCCGCCCCACGGCCTCCTGGGCACAGCTGGGGCCCACAGTCCTCCATTCCTGGGCCTTAGGGCCTGAACACTGAGGCCCTCTGTGTGTGTGTACCCTCTCTGTGCCCAGCACCATGCTGTGCTGTGCTGTGCTGTGCTGTGGTGTCGTGTCTGATCCTGGGAGATAGGAGGTGTTAGGGTCATTCTCATTTTACAGCTAAGAAAATAGGCTGGGACATTAAGTGTCTTATAAAAGTCCCAGCCAGGTCTTGGAACCAAGGTTTCTAATGCCAAAATCAGGTATACCCACCCTGGGCAACACCAGAGGTGACTCAACCAAGAACCCTGCCCTCTGGGAGGAGATGGAATCAGAATGTGATAACTGACCCTCCAGCCCAGAGGAAGGGTGGAGGGGCTGTGAGAGCCCTGTCCTCTGGGTCCTATCCCCTGCCCATGCAGCATCTTGCAAAGTGGCCCCTGCCTGCTCACTCTTCACGGAAGCATCTCCCAGTCCGTGCTCGGTTTAGAGACGGAAGGTAGTGGTTTAGAAAAAAAAGTTCTTTAGTAGTGGCGGCCCTTTTTTCAAATAAAATTTCATCAGAACACACTGAAAATTGGTAACAGGAGAGCCGTTCTGGGTACAGAGAGTGAGGGGAACCTGTGTGTGACCTCCTGCTTCCTGACCTTTCTCACCCTACCTTAGACTCTTCTGCAGAGCCCCATGTTGTCTGTGACCCTGGCTTTGAGGTGGCAGAGTTAACACCACTCTTCATTAGTAAAGTCTTGTCTGGGGCAACCCCAGAAGAACGTAAGTTCCATGGAGAAGTTTTTTGTTTGTTTGTTTCTAATAGTGGCAAAATATATATAACATCAAATTGACCATTTTTACTACTTTTGAGTGTTAGAATTCAGTGGTTACGTAAATTTACAATATCAGCACCATTCATCTTCAGAACTTCATCTTCAGAACCTCTTCATCTTCCCAAACGGAAACTCCGTACCCACTAAACGCTAACTCCCACTACCCCCTAAATGTTTTCCTCCCTGCAGATCCTGCAGCCACCACTCTACTTTCTGTCTCTATGAGCCTGGCTACTCTAGACACCTCACGTAAATAGAATCATAGAACATTTGTCCTTTTTTGCCTGGCTTCCTTCACTTAGCAGAATTTTTTCAAAATTATGGCATGTGTCAGAACTTCATTCCTTTTTTCAGCTGAATAGTATTCCGTTGCATGACTGTACCACATGTCCATCTGTTCAGCCGTGCGTGGGTGCCCGGGTTGTTTCTTCCTTTCAGCTATTGCAATGAATAATGCTGCTGTGAATATGGGTGTGCAAATATCTCTTTGAATCCCTGCTTTCAGTTCTTTTGGGTCTATACCTAAAGAAGTGGAATTCCCGCATCATGTGGTAATTCTAACTTCTTAGGGAACCACCATACCATTTTCCACAATGGCTGTATACCACTTTACATACCCACTGGCAATGCACACAGGTTCCAGTTTCTCCACATTCTCCCCAGCATGGCAGGGGCTTTAAACCTTTGGTCATGGGTATACCCTCAGAGACTAGGGCAGTGCCCGGCACATTGTAGGTACTTGATACATATTTGTTGGATGAATGAATGGGAGGCTTTGGCTTCAGAGCAGGTGTACCTGGGAATTCTCCTACCTGAATGGCACCCAGTCAGTAAGTGCCCTGCCCACAAAAGGTCCCAAGACCTTCCCATTCCATTCCCTGTTCAGCTCTAAGACAACCATCCTCCATCCTTTATTTTTAATTTTGATTTATTATTTATTTATTTATAGAAATAGGATTTCATTTCGATGCAGGCTGGAGTGCAGTGGCAAGATCATAGCTCACTACAGCCTCAAACTCCTGGGCTCAAGTGATCCTCCCACCTCAGCCTTCCTAATAGCTGGGACTATAGGCATGTGCTGCCCGGCAACATTTTTTTTTTTTTTTTTGGTAGAGATGAGCTCTTGTTTTTTTGCCCACTGTGGTCTAGAGCTCCTGGCCTCAAGTTATCCTCCTGCCTTGGCCTCCCAAAGCCCTGGGATTACAGATGTGAGCCACCACTCCCGACCCAATTTTTTTTTTTTTTTTTTTTTTTTTTTTTTGAGATGGAGTCTTGCTCCGTTGCCAAGCTGGAGTGCAGTGGCATGATTTCAGCTAAATGCAACCTCTGCCTCCTGGGTTCAAGTGATTCTCCTGCTTCAGTCTCCCATGTAGCTGGGACTGTAGGTGTGCACCACTGCTCCCAGCTAATTTTGTATTTTTAGTAGAGACGGGGTTTCACCATGTTGGCCAGGATGGTCTCGATCTCTTGACCTTGTGATCTGCCCGCCTCGGCCTCCCAAAGTGCTGGGATTACAGGCATAAGCCATTGTGCCCAGCCTTTTTTTTTTCTTTTTCAGCACGAATGAAAAAGTCCATCCAGGGCAGAAATGAGAGTCAAGAGGCCCAGAGGAATGGGACTAAAGGGAAGGGACTGAAGTGTCAGGGGCCAAGGAAAGCCCACCATGAGTTTTCTGTGATCCTGGGGCTTGGCTATTTGGACCAGGGGTGAGAGATAGGAGAAGGGAGACAGGAGATGCCCAGAAGGACATAGCCCTGGGGAACATCGCAGCTTCTGCACCTGGTGCTGCAGTGAAGTAACCGGGAGGCGCTGGCAATTGGCTTCGGGGTCTGCTATGTTTCAGAACTCCTCCTCCCAGTGTCTTCCCTTCACTCGGGCCAGACTTCTCACCCATTTCCACCCCTGCACCTTTGTTCCAGCTGTTTGTTTCCTGTTCCTTCCCCCAGGAGCAGCATTCCTACTTTTTCTCTTTTCTTCCTCACCCAAGGTGGCTCATCTCTGAAATCCCAGAGGAAGGTACACATCCTCTGCAGGGCATTCTCCATGGTTCTAAGCCCCCTCTCTGCCAGGCCCTAGACCCCACAAGGCAAGGGTGGGTTGGACAGCATTGCACAGTACATGTTGTGCACTATGCGACAGGATGCCTTTCAGCTCCAGCACAGCAGGTTGAGAGTCTGCACTAAGTGACCTCCAATCCTCTCCCACTCTTCTGGCTCACAGTGAGAGGTATGCACAGCTGGAACTCCAAATGGTGTCCCAGTGGGTGTGATCAAAGCAGACACAGCAAGATGATGCCTGGCCCAGCAGAGACCAGCAGTGAGGGCCCTCCAGAAAGGGGTCTCATGGTTCTCTTGTCCCCCACTATCTGGGTTAAAGGCTCTCTAGGTCCTGAGGAGGGGCTGAGACTATTGGAACCCAGGGCAGCGCCTGTGGTCTGTGCATGGACAAGGGTCTGGGAAATTGTCATCCCACTTCCAGTGTGGGCTCCCTCCTACTCAGCACTACTAGGCTGGGGACACAGACCTGAGTTATAGAGTTTTTCTAGGTGTCCCCACTTGGATGTGCTGGTCTGGGAGGCCTTGACCTACCCGAGAGGACAGCCCCTCAGCTCCCATGCTGGGCACACTTGTATCTCTCTAGGCAAGGGGAGTGTTCACTGCTGTTTCTCAGCTGCTAAGCAGTGGGGCTGCTAAGGAGGACCATTCCCCCGGTTAGCTAAACTACCCACTGCCACATGTCCTGGGACTCATGTAGAGTTGCCCGTGCAGGAAGCAGGCTCAGCCATGAATCCGCTTGAACACAGAGCTTTCTGCCCTTGTGTCTTCTGATTGGGATTCATCTTAGATGCCTTGCTTGCTCCTGGGCAGGCATCTATGAATGGGGACATCTGTGTTCCACTCAATGGTCTGACAGGCCCCACAGGTCGAGGATGACTGATTCCTTCTCTGAGGTATTCCCCGGGTCCCCACAGTGAGTTTTTATTACTGCTTGCCACATAGTCTGTGTTTTAAGTCTGGCCATTCCAAACTTCCCCTCCAAATTCAATGAGCAATCTGCCCACTGTGATTGCACAATGCTGAGACGGGTAAGCAGAAGCAGTTGTGCTTACGTAGATGCGTGGTTCTTCATGACTTCTGTGGCTAACGCTGCGATCTGCTCCACATCCTGGCCTGGGTTCCATGTCTGTCTGAGAGCTCTCTGTCACCTTCTCTATAGCAGTCTGTGACCCAAGGTAGTAATTGCTTAATTGTCTGCTAGGCTCATGGCTCTCAGAGGCCAATGACTGTTGTATTCATCTTTCTATCCCAGACCTGCACAGGAGGTCAGTTCCCCATATGCATTTGTTGAATGGAAGGAATTTCAAACTTCCTGAAGGTGGGGACTGGGCCTTTCCCTTTCTTACCAATTCTATATCTCAGCCCAGCCTGGAGCTGAGTTCATAACAGGACTGATGGGTTGCCCAATGGAGGGTACTGCTGAAAAGTTTCCCAAGTCAAACTGGATTTTGATCCCCAAGGAAACAAAGAAACCCCAAGACTTGACTCAACTAAGTATCTGGAGTGCCTGTCGGTGAAAGGCCAGGCTCCATCACATGTGAGCCATGATCATGGGGCCATGGGATGGGTTTTGGTGAGATGGGAAGAATGAGCGTCATAAAACAAGAGAAGGACTTTGCATGAACCAATGGTGATCAGGTGCCAGGAAATGAGGAGTGGCTAACTCAGTAATCTGTCCTTGAGGTCTGATTCCAAAAGAAAGAGAAGAAAGGGAAGAAAGGGAAGGAAAGGAGGAAGGAAGAGAAGGAAGAGCAAAGAAAAGAAGGAGAGAAAGCATAGGTTTGGAAGCCAGATAAAGCCGGACCTGACAGGAGTTGAGACCAGCCTGGCCAATATGGTGAAACCCCGTCTCTACTAAAGATACAAAAAATTAGTTGGGCATGGTGGCATGCGCCTGTAATCCCAGCTACTTGGGAGGCTGAGACAGGAGAATTGCTTGAACCCGGGAGGTGGAGGTTGCCATGAGCCAAGATTGCGCCATTGCCTGGGCAACAGAGTGCGACTCTGTCAAAAAAAAAAAAAAGAAAGAAAAGAAAAAAGCTGGACCCGAATCCCCTTTCTGTCTCTTCTAAGTGTGGATCTCTAGACACAGGCTCCATCTCTGTGTCCTAGTTTCTGCATCTGTAAAACGAGAATTAGAGTAATGCTTGTGATGTGTCCCACACTGTTCTTGGCACATGGTAGAACTCAGTGTATTCACACAGTATATAATGGGGATTATTATCACCACGGCTCAGGTTTTGCATGAGGTATCAGTTTGGATTTAATGAACTTAAGCCAAAAAGAGCATTTATTTTAAAACTTCTGGCCAAGTGCCGTGACTCACACCTGTAATCCTAGCACTTTAGGAGGCTGAGGCGTGAGGATCACCTGAGGTCAGGAGTTTGAGACCAGCCTGGCCAACATTGTGAAACCTTGTCTTTACTAAAAATACAAAAATTAGCTGGGCGTGGTGACATGCATCTGTAATCCCAGCTACTCAGGAGGCTGAGGCAGGAGGATCGTTTGAACCTGGGAGGCGGACGTTGCAGTGAGCTGAGATCGCACCACTGCAGTCCAGCCTGGGCAACAGAGTAAGACTCCCTCTCAAAGAAAAAAATAAAATAAAACCTTCCAGCTCATCAAATTGAAGAAAGAGTTGAATTCCAAGACTTCAGAAAGGCTGGGAAAGGAGGGCCTGAGGTTTCAGGA